AAAAGCCAAGAGCTTTTCTACAAGCTTAATCTCCTGCTGCTGTTTTCTTCCTGTCCCCTGGCTCTTTTTTCCTGCCCCTTTCCCCCTAAAACACGCTCTTACCTGTTGTTGTTTCCATGAAATTCCTGGGTGAAGGGAAGGAGGCTCTTTGCTCCATGTGCAGTCTGTTCCACTACAAATTCCACTGGAGCTGTAGGGTGGGATCACCTTGGGCCAAGGGACATGCTGAGGGACGATTTCAAAGTTTCATGCTTAAATCAAATAAAGGTTAAATCATGCAACCATGTTGTTGTTTAGCAGAACATCTAGCACTCCATTGCTGAGGGCATGCTGGAACCTTATCTTCAAAGGTTGTCTTCTAAAAATATCATGCATTAAGATTGCATTTTGCTTTTATTTGCACACATGAAAGTAATAGAGTAAGAAGGTGTGAAGGCACCTCTTGAATGTGTGACTCAGTCAAAGATAGGCTTGGAGAGCTGGCTGGTGAGAAACTTAAGTTTGTGGAACGTGCAGACTTGGCTGCAAAATACACTGGTGCCTTGGGTGCTTCAAGAGAAATATCACAGCTCTGGAGCCCCCAACACAAGAAAGATGTGGACCTGTTGGAACATGTCCAGAGGAGGCCATGAAAATGATCACAGGGTTGGAGCACCTTTCTTATGAAGACAGGCTGAGGGAGTTGGGGTTGTTCAGCCTGGAGAAGAGAAGGCTCCAGGGAGACCTAAGAGCACCTTCCAGTGCCTGAAGGGGCTCCAGGAAAGCTGGGGAGGGACTATTTGCAAGGGCTTGTAGTGAGAGGACAAGGGGGAATGGGTTTGAACTGAAAGAGGGGAGATTTAGGTTAGAGATCAGGAGGACATTATTTAGTGTGAGGGTGGTGAGATATTGGCCCAGGTTGCCCAGAGAAGCTGTGGCTGCCCCATCCCTGGCAGTGTTGAAGGGCAGGTTGGATGGGGCTTGGAGCAACCTGGGCTGGTGGGAGGTGTCCCTGCCTGTGCAGGGGGGCTGGAACCAGATGATCTTTCAGGTCCCTTCCAACTCAAATCAATCTGAATCTATGATTTATCAACATGGGCCAGGTTGGTGGCCACTGACCTTGACCCCCTTTTTTAATGGGGATGGAAATGGCAAGAATAAAGAGAGGATTTCTGCAGAGGGGACTTGGCATGGGCATCCAGGAGCCTTCCTTTTCATCACACACCAGCAGTGTGTGACAGGATTCAAAATCCTAAACAAGTGGCCTGGCTTTCAAAAGTGCTGAATAGTCAGAAACTCCTATTGAGTGCAGTGGCAGCTGAGGGGTGACTCAACATTTCTGAAGATCATTCCACTTAAAATAAGGGTTTCTTTGCTTGATCTTAGTCACCTGAAAGTCAGGGGGCAAAATCCTCACTCATGATTGTAGGGGTGTAGAAGATAGAGCTGCATATCTAATTTTAAGCATCTCCTTATTTAAAGCTCTTTTGACTAATAGCTTTATCTAGTCACTTCTTTATGATTATTTATGCATATCTATCTGGGATGCTGGTTTATATTTAAGGAAAATGATGTTCTATTCTGTTTTAGCTGGCAAGCTTTTATGGCTTTATGCAAGTGTGGGTTGCCATGGAGAATGACTGGCAGGTTAAGCTTGACTTTTCAAAGAGGCTTAGTGAGTTGAAGCACAGAAAGACCTTAGAGTTGAGGGAGAAGCTTTATTAGCTAGGTAAAATGAGCTGACTCAAACTTGTAGGTAATTGTTTCTCCTTTGGGAGAACTTAGGTCCAAAAGCATCCCTATAAAAGAAGAAAACTTGAAAATGGAGCAGAAGGGAAGGATTTGTGCTGTGTTTTTTCCGAGTGTCCCAAAGCACACTGTATTCTAGTTGAAACTGGAGAAAAAAATGAAAGAGGGAAGACTTGGTTTCCTTATATAATTGTACTGGAGTTGTGGTGCAATATTCCATTGACCAGAAGGGAACCCATGCATTCACATTGTAATTTGTATGATGCCTGAACTTCCTAAATTAACATCCCACTCTTATTTTTGTGTAGTGCATTTGTTTCCAATAAATAGCTACTACTACTGTACCTTTAATAACATGGAAAATTCCAGTGCAGCGACAGGTTTTTGACTGGATGTGTTCCTCAGATCATGTGAGCAAACTGTTTTCCTTAACTCTTCAAGCCAAATATATTTTATTTACACGGCTGAGAACAACAGAAATGTCAAGGTGGTAAGATCACTTATATGTATTTGCTGCCAGGGTCTTTTAAGTCAGACCTCCTAGTTAGAATGGTGTTACTGGATGATGACCTGAAGCTTGAAGAACCAGAGCAGCTTCTTGACAACATTAGACTCATTTTCTGTGAGTGCATAAAACCTGCCTTATGTTTCTAGCTAAAACATGTTAATTAGCTCATTCAGAATTGAGAACATCAGGCCAACTCTTCTTTCTAATTTGTGAACTTCAGAAGGATGAGGTCTGCTGGTTTGGGGAAGGATGACTTCAGCCTGGCAGTGTTGAAGGGCAGGTTGGATGGGGCTTGGAGCAACCTGGGCTGGTGGGAGGGGTCCCTGCCTGTGCAGGGGGGCTGGAACCAGATGATCTTTCAGGTCCCTTCCAACTCAAATCAATCTGAATCTATGATTTATCAACATGGGCCAGGTTGGTGGCCACTGACCTTGACCCCCTTTTTTAATGGGGATGGAAATGGCAAGAATAAAGAGAGGATTTCTGCAGAGGGGACTTGGCATGGGCATCCAGGAGCCTTCCTTTTCATCACACACCAGCAGTGTGTGACAGGATTCAAAATCCTAAACAAGTGGCCTGGCTTTCAAAAGTGCTGAATAGTCAGAAACTCCTATTGAGTGCAGTGGCAGCTGAGGGGTGACTCAACATTTCTGAAGATCATTCCACTTAAAATAAGGCTTTCTTTGCTTGATCTTAGTCACCTGAAAGTCAGGGGGCAAAATCCTCACTCATGATTGTAGGGGTGTAGAAGATAGAGCTGCATATCTAATTTTAAGCATCTCCTTATTTAAAGCTCTTTTGACTAATAGCTTTATCTAGTCACTTCTTTATGATTATTTATGCATATCTATCTGGGATGCTGGTTTATATTTAAGGAAAATGATGTTCTATTCTGTTTTAGCTGGCAAGCTTTTATGGCTTTATGCAAGTGTGGGTTGCCATGGAGAATGACTGGCAGGTTAAGCTTGACTTTTCAAAGAGGCTTAGTGAGTTGAAGCACAGAAAGACCTTAGAGTTGAGGGAGAAGCTTTATTAGCTAGGTAAAATGAGCTTACTCAAACTTGTAGGTAATTGTTTCTCCTTTGGGAGAACTTAGGTCCAAAAGCATCCCTATAAAAGAAGAAAACTTGAAAATGGAGCAGAAGGGAAGGATTTGTGCTGTGTTTTTTCCGAGTGTCCCAAAGCACACTGTATTCTAGTTGAAACTGGAGAAAAAAATGAAAGAGGGAAGACTTGGTTTCCTTATATAATTGTACTGGAGTTGTGGTGCAATATTCCATTGACCAGAAGGGAACCCATGCATTCACATTGTAATTTGTATGATGCCTGAACTTCCTAAATTAACATCCCACTCTTATTTTTGTGTAGTGCATTTGTTTCCAATAAATAGCTACTACTACTGTACCTTTAATAACATGGAAAATTCCAGTGCAGCGACAGGTTTTTGACTGGATGTGTTCCTCAGATCATGTGAGCAAACTGTTTTCCTTAACTCTTCAAGCCAAATATATTTTATTTACACGGCTGAGAACAACAGAAATGTCAAGGTGGTAAGATCACTTATATGTATTTGCTGCCAGGGTCTTTTAAGTCAGACCTCCTAGTTAGAATGGTGTTACTGGATGATGACCTGAAGCTTGAAGAACCAGAGCAGCTTCTTGACAACATTAGACTCATTTTCTGTGAGTGCATAAAACCTGCCTTATGTTTCTAGCTAAAACATGTTAATTAGCTCATTCAGAATTGAGAACATCAGGCCAGCTCTTCTTTCTAATTTGTGAACTTCAGAAGGATGAGGTCTGCTGGTTTGGGGAAGGATGACTTCAGGACCAGAAACTGCTGCAGGTTCTTAACAAATCGAGTTTAAAGGCCAAAAGTGTTAGGATGGACTTACTCCTTTTCTTACATTTACTGTAATTAAGACAGTTCTGCTTGAGACAATTCAGAAGTGGGTTTTTTAGTGACTTCAGTTGATTTGTCTTGATCCAGAAGCAGCTGGGTCCAAAGAAATCAAGTCAAATGTTGGGATTTTCATATATAAAGATACACACGTTAGTGATTTCCAGAAATGTGTATTAAGCTAATGGCCAGGTAGAGGTTTTTTTGCCTTTCTGATTAGCCAAGAGAATTTAAGGTTAGTCAGAGGTCAGGACATAGCTGAACTGCTTGAACAGGATGATGAAAGAAAGATGACAGCTGATTCTGGTGTGCATTCCTTTTTTTTACATGTTGTTGAAATCAATGCCCTTTGATTGCCAGTCAGTGTTTTCACCTGGTTTCATCCTACCAGCGTAAACCATAGGAAATCATTGTCACTGTTCTCCTTTTCCTACCTCATCTAATAATCCCTGCCTTTCTATATGTACATACTATGTGTACATGTATATAATCTTTATTTCAATACTGTTACTAGGGGAAAAAAAGAATCTCCTATCTAAAACTGTGCAAGCAGTGTCTTAAGCATGTTTTGGCTATCATGGGACAAGTTTTTTCATGTGCTTTTAATATCCTGCACTTAGCTTGAAAATAAAAGCAGCAAAAAACCCCACAGACTTCCCTAGAAACTTGATCTGCCATTTGTTACAACCAATTCTAATGTAGATATTTTTTCCTCCTAGGTTTTACCAAGAGACAGTACATCTAACACTTAACTTGGATCATCTCTTGTTCATCAGCTTGAGAATCATAACAGCCCCCAAAACTGACATTTGATCTGAAAAGGAAAAAAAAACCAAAAACAAACCAAAAAACCAAACAGTGACAAATGGACAATATGTCTATTACTAACACACCAACAAGTAATGATGCTTGTCTGAGCATTGTTCACAGCTTGATGTGCCATCGTCAAGGTGGAGAGAGTGAAACTTTTGCCAAACGCGCAATTGAAAGTTTAGTTAAAAAGCTAAAGGAGAAAAAAGATGAATTGGATTCTTTGATTACAGCTATAACCACAAATGGAGCTCATCCTAGCAAGTGTGTTACAATACAGAGAACGCTGGATGGGAGGCTTCAGGTTAGTACAAGTGAAA